AATCAACAACAATGTGCTTAAACATAAAACTTAAAACCCAAAATCATTTTAAGGTTATTGTATGTACTATGTACCATGTTTCTGACTTGCCTATACAGAAACCCAGACCCTTCAACTTCAACCTGCAAAATGGGTCCCTGAAAACAAGAAAAAAATTGTATAGTCAACATGACACCCGATCAAAAAAGTCAAAACAATTTATACCTTTTCGATTATATCCACTCGAGAGATATTCTTGACTGGGTTGACTACGCGATCATTGCGTTGTTTATTGGCGAAAGAAGAAAAATCATGTTGCCCTACAAAATACTTGGCAGCTTCTTTCATGACAGATACATTGAGTTTGGAAAGATTATGATAAGCATAGAGACGATGGAATGGGTCCAAGACAGTGTCGTTATAAATCTTGTAATGGTAGATCTTTTCCGGTGACTGAAAAACGAGCATGGAAGTCGGGGAGTGCAGGGCTGATTTCTCTAACTCGAACATCAGGAGGAAGAAGACCATTCAGTGCTGCGTGCATGTCCTGCAGATCCTTGTAATTGAATGGTGTAACAAACTGTGCCACCTGAAAAAAACTAAAATCACGTTTCAAGCTTTTAATCTAACGTCATCAACGAACGTATGATGGAAGGCAGACCTGGCCGAGGGCATGAACTCCGGCGTCGGTTCTACTTGCACCGACTACACACAGATCCTTACGTTCTAGCTTTGTAACTCGAGTTAGGGCTTGTTCCAAGAGGCACTGAAGGGTTGGCGTTGATGGTTGATACTGCCAACCTGAACAAAGCAATTACAACCATAATCAACAATCAAAATTGACAAAGGAAAAAGATATCGAAGATTGACAGAAAGTGATGCAGAAGATAATAGATATATAGAGTAACTGGGAAATTCAATCAGTTTGGGGCAGAAATTAGGTATTAAGAAACGAAGAATGAAATTGGTTTGGTGAGATATCATAACAGAGAAAGTAATCGGGGAATTCAAGAAAGGCGGATGGAAACCGGAGAATCGTGTGCCGTCGTAAGATAAAACCAAACGCCATTTGTAAGTGTTGGCCGGATGAGTTTGTTGATTATACAGGTCGTCGAGATGAGCGGCGGCCAACGGCAGTCCAACTCCAAGTGCGGCGTAACCCATTATTCTTCCACAGTCCACACCATTCGTATACCAGTCCAACGATGGTTTCCAGTCCACTGACCACCACTTTGAATTTTATCCAACCCATTATTGTTTTATTTTATTTGGCCTTGGGGCTTGGCGGTACTTTTGCAGATTTTTTTTTAATTTTAGCGTAAATTCATATAAGTGTCCATTTCAGTTCAAAGATAAGCAAATAAGATCGGTGATTGTGGGAAGAAAGAATGGCTCGGCAAGAGTGAGGTGGAGGGTGACCTGGAGCGTGGTAACTTGGAGAACACCGCCCCTCATCTCGGGCTCGGTATGCCGAGATCATGGGTGTTTAGAGGGGGGGCAAAGTGTGCACAGGGCCTAATTTTTTTCATTATATATTTTTATTTAGAAATACAAAATTATAATAAAGATAAGGATCCTTTTTTCTTGTTCGTCCTGGGCCTTTAAAAATATTTCATTTTTCAGAACCGGATCCGAAATTTTCGGTGGAACTCGATGACTCTTCACCGAGTCACTCTCTTTCACAACCAAAGAAGATGACATGGAAGGGGGTGGTGACCACAAGCCTAAGAAAATATCCATAAGAATGAGAATACCTTAAAAAAGTATGCAATCAAATCTAACGTCAAGATGTCTCGAGATGACAAGGCTCTCAAACTCAACATAGGAAACAATCCTCATATGTGCTAGAATTTATTACTGTTTATTTCTGAAATATTTAATCATTTTAGAAAAGGGATAATTACTTAAAAGGGTAATGTATTTTATGATTTGTATATATTTGGTTACTAAGATTTTTTTTTCGTCCATATTTACTCCTTCAACTTGTTAAATTGTACACATTCAATCCTTATGACCGGTTACTTCTAGTTAGCCAAGAAAAATGACTTAATAGGGTAATATATTTTTCATTTTGTACACATTTAATCATTAATATTTTTGTACATATTTAGTCCTAAACATTTTTTGTTTCAAAATAAATCTTTTTTTGGTATTATCCAGTACTTATGAATGATTTATTTAGGTTTTTCTCACGATATCTTACGTGAGACAATCATTTATGAGGTGTTTGGGGATGTTGATGCATATGTTCTTTATATAGTGCTTAGCCCCAAAATTAGGGTTTATCCCACACTCGCGTCCACTTACTTCTCTATGTTGGGCGTACCCCCAGCTTACGATGGGCGTGCTTCTATGCTCACTACCTTGCATGCATGGTACCTTCTAATTGCCAATAACTTCAAAGTGCTATAACTCCTTCATTCTAAGTCTGTTTCCGACGAACTTTATATCCACGCAAAGGTGGTGGGAAACCCTACGCTCCTAGCCACAACCCAAGCCTAAAACCTTATGAATAAGACCCGAGACCTATAAAAGACCGAATCGCCGATATCCTTGGCCTTCGAGACCATGGCCGAGTACTTTCAGAACCGGGTGTTACAACTCTCCCCCAATTAAATTGGATTTCGTCCTCGAAATCGCTCCTTACTCACACCCGAATCCAACAAATGATTTGTGGAATGCAATTGATGGTTCTACGCGTAACCTATTCTTCTCAAGACAATCGAGAGCCAACCAAACTTCCTTACTGAAGGAAAACAAACTTTAAGCTTCAACAACTCACTTCTACCTTTACAGAGATCGAATCCATGCTGGTCTGTCTCCCTACATAACCATCTGTAGGACAATTATACTTTACAGAAGGCTCAGATAATCTTTCAATTAGAAGATTCATCTCTGGAACGGTTAGACTCAAACGAGAGCTGCATAACAGGGTCAAATCAATTACTTTGAGATTATCCTATCCAACTATAAGCGTCTTCTCTCTTCTGATTCGTAAGCTACCCCCTCACAAGAATCCTCGCATCACTACTTCTACCTGAAAATCATGTTGTCTCTATCTACCCTCCAAAGGAAACGAGACCTCCCAGGTCTGAACTTATCTATCAACTATCTGGAACACCGGATTCCACCCAGTTACTGAACCAATGATCACCCTCCCATTTGCTCCCAACGACTTCTGTAGAAAACTTTGGGTATCAAAATTGCGTTATCCATCTTGCCACTCATGGCTCTATAAATCCTGGGATCCCTGATCCTATATCTCGACCCCACGGTCTCTGCCAGGTCCCATCTTCCTTGCCACGAACACACGGGTCTCGCCTACGGGTCTCACCCAAACCACACTACTGAGTGGCCTTGCCTCCAGGTCTTACCTGTCTAGGGATATGTAGGTACCACTTCACATCGATTCCTATCTACCTATCTTTTCATGATTTTAATCATGCTAACTATGAGATACGGCCCCATGCCTACACTAACTAGGAGATACGGACCCCCACCCACACTTTGATATATGAATGCTAATGAATGTTGTGGCTAACCCACAGTCTTACAACATTTTCCACCCTATCTGGCTGCTAGTGGATGCTACGGCTATCTCACAGTTTTACAACACTTTCCACGTTGATCATGGAAACGGCCTGTCCTAGCTAAACTCAAGTCATGATGAGAATTTCCTCCACCTGGTCCCCAAAGCCAACTATCAAACACCAAAAGGACACGAACCATACGTTGGGAAGTTTCCAACACCCCTAGCTCATATACCCCTCGATCCAATCAGCCACTTAGGTTGCCTTCCTTCCTGACGAGAATACGAACTCATCCTAAATCCACACTTTCTTCTATTCCTGAACCCTTGGAGAAATCTCCCCTACTTTGTTTCAACTAACATATTACAACACATCTGACTGGAAAGATCCTCAATCCTTCGTACCATCTAGTGATCAATCTTGATGGTAACCAATGCTTACTACTGTTAGTGTTCCCAAAACCAATCGACACTAAAGCAGTAAGACCATTGAAGATTTTCGGAATACTTCCCATGTTCTAATCACATTTGCTACAGCTACTGCATCCCAAAAATTCACTTTATATAGAGACGTCCCCTCACTACTACCCTAAGACCCATGATATGCAGATGACATATAATCCGAACATAAGCAGGAGGTATAATCCGAAGATACAACTACTCACGTGGATGCGAGAAAATAATAATAAAATCACATATAAAAATTGATAGGAAAGAAAAAATATGCACTTGCAACATCAGAAGTCGCTCGTGTCTCCTCTGTAACCAACTGGAATGCCCTACTCCTCGCCACACGCGCCTCTGGCCAGCTCTGACGGCCGTCGGTGATCCTCAATGTCGCAGGGGCAGGTTCTATCACTTGACCTATTGCTGCCAAACTCGGACATTGGGCCTTCTTTTGGCCCCTCTGACTGCAATGGAAGCAGATCAGGTCTGATCCGTGGCTGGTGATAGCAGTACAATACCTACTATAATTACCAATCCGTCCGCACTTGAAGCAACCAGAAACATCACCACTATCGCTCCTACACACACCCTCGTGTGTCCTGCCGCACTTACCATAGAGTCTACGGTCCTGGTGACTTCTCGATCTAGAATATGATGCCTTAGGCCTCTTGCTCGATCCTGCAGATGTCTGCACCTCGTCTGGTTTTCTCTTCTTATCTGCCTCTCAGTCAATCTCCCTTTCCCTGGCTTGAGCGATCATATCCTCCAGCGTCTTGCAGCTGGACCAGCTCACGAACTGTCTAATTTCGCTCCTCGACATCTCATGGTACCGAGCTTTCTTCATCTCATCGTCTGCTACGTACTGCGGAACAAGAAAGGCTCTCTCTCTGAACTTGACAGTGATCTCTTCCACTGTCTCTGTAGTTTGATGGAGGTCTTGGAACTCCCGTGCTAACTACTGTACCTCAATAATTGGTGCAAAATTATCCTTGAACCTATCCGAGAATTCACCCCATGTCATTGTTGGATTAATGTCTAAGTCCATAACTTTAATTGGTAAGACTTGACCCAACACGGCATGGTCCATTTGGGTTGCATGGCATCGGGACACTTGGATAGACCTTTTATGAGAAGAAGATATTTGTGACATATTAATATATTATAAGTTCAAATATATTAATATGAAATCATGTTATTTAAATTAGTATTGATCAAGAATTAATTTGGACTTAATTTAGTGATCAAAAGAGACGAATTAAATATATGGGGATTGATTGTGTAAATCATTCATTCTTATATATGTGGGATTATGATCCATGATTCCTTATGTTGGGTTTAACCCATGTGGTGACCCATGGATACTCCATGGAGATTAAAACCCATGGAGCATAAGGAATGGGTAAAGTCATGGATTACATGGTGTAACCCTAATATGCACACTACATAAGGACCCCTTTAGCTCAAGAAATTGGCACTAGTGACACATATATGAGGGCTAGCCGATTTGAGCATCAAGTGTCTTCTTCTCATGGTTATTCCAAGTGTTGATGATGTTGTGTGAACCATTTGAGGTTTCACACTTGGGGCACTAGGTTCTCAAGCTTCATGGAGTCAAGCTACATCAACAATGTATGTATATCTATCTAGTTTATTATTCAAGTATCTAAGGAATTGTATGCTAGTTAGGGTAATACCTTAGAATATTCATATTTTCATATATAATAGAGAAAACATAGATCCAAGGTATTTAGGGTTGGATGTACACTTAGGAGTGTTAGAATGCTCAAGACCCAACAGCCATCGCGTCCAACGCGACATCATCTCCAATAGTATGTCCAACCTCCTCCCACCAATCAACGCTCTGTCCTTCAGAAGACAGGAGGCGATTCGGACCTTGTCCCCCTCAGGACACCGGCTAGAACGGAAGGCGTTGGCGACATCTGCCAACCACCGGCTGCTATCAATGGGTTCCTTGGCCCCATGATAGTCTGGAGCTCCATAGGCTCTGAACTCCCTGAACGTCAACGAGCGTGCCCCCACTATGGCTGCCATCTCGGTGCGGAACGCACCCAACCTTTCATCCAAAATATCCATAATGCATTCCTTGACCTTGCCAAAGATCACAGGGGTCTGGTCCAAAATACTGCACGTAATCTCGGCTGAAATAAACTCTCCCATCTGTTCATCCGGCTGCCCGACTCCAAAGCCCGAGCCTGATCCCTCACCGACGCCTGAACCGCCCACTAGTCTACCACGTAGCGTCACCATACTGCAACATAACATAACCATTAGAATACTCATCACCATCGAGGGATCACACACACACACACTACAAGTTCCCCAGTCTTATCTCAACCCTCCTTGACTCGAGTACGAATCCTCTACTTTCAGTAGTACGGGCCCATACTACCTTCCACATCTATCTATACTTTCCTCAAGGATTGCCTCGACTCTACCAAGTCCCTTACTACTACTACTACTGCTCCCAGCATACTCTCATCCTAGG